ATTGTTGTCGCTGTTGTCCATTGTTTTCATCATTAGGCCCGAGCAGCGAAGCGCTGCGAAGGCCTATAGACCTTTTTCATGCTTCCAGGTTTTAAAGTGGATGTGGTGTTCAACAACTTCCGGTGGCTGTAGCGTTAGCATTAGACTGTGAGGAAAATGTCTCAGTCTCTGCGCGGTTGCTTTTGTTCAGTTCCTGGTTGTTCTTGTGGGGCAAGAAAACAACCATATCAGTCCTACCATGCTTTTCATGACGTACCCAGACCAAAGGAGGCAGTGGATCCAAGAGATCAGAAGAGATGATGGTCCCAACTTCTGCATAAAGCCAGGGAGCACTTGTATGTAACCTGCATTTCACTCAGGAGGATTTTGTCTGTGGATCCACCAGCAGCTGCTTTAAACGTTGAGCTGTTTCTTTCTCTTCACCTGGAATCATTTCACTGCACCAGCTAAGAGAGAGTCTGTTTTTAGAGAGCTCAGAAACAGCAGCTTGTCCTCTCACAGAAAGCCAGCCAGGCTGAAGCTGCTACTGGAGTCCACGTGAAACTCACTTCACCTGGTGCCACATCCACCCACAGGTAAATATCACATTAAGATGCTACATTATAAACTGGTCATGTCATGGAGAGATCAAGTTACATGCACTGACTCACAAAATGTATTGATCTTCACAGAAATAATGTCAACAATAATAATAATAATGTGAATAAGCTCAATAATTGAAACGATCTTGGTAATCCTTATTTTATTTAGTGGTTTTACTGGTGCACTCCCAGCTGTCCTCATTCTGCTCAGTCCTGTGTTGGTGGACTCTCACTCCTGCTTGAGTCACCATGATTAGTCAGTGTCTTACTGAGAGAAGATTGACTGAACTAAAGGCTGGGGCCAATTTCAACTATTTTTATATGTGAATGTGAGGCCCATGTTTGTTTTGTAATTCTTAAATATTTTTCATATTTATTTTTGTTTACTTAATTTAATATTTGTATTCCAGGTTGAAGGTGCAGTCCAGTCTCGTGTAGGTTCTGTTCCA